GCGTGCTGTGCGCTCTGGGCCTGAGCTGCGGCCGGGCCGGAGCGGCTCACCCAGCCGCCCCTTCTCCGTCTGCGCTTGTGCTGAGGGCGGGGGTCCTTAACGAAAACCAGCTACAAATGTTTGTTAATCGAAAAATGCAGCTCGGGTGCGTGCAGCTCTAGCTGTAGGTGCGTTATTCCACAGACCCTTAAAAAACCGCTACTCTCTAAGTTTTCTTGATGTGGAATGGTTAAACTTACCAGTGGAAATTTGAAAATAATCAAGAGAAAAAGAATTAACGGCCTACATTTCTTATACTTTAAAACTGGGTAAACATTAAGCAGTTCTCTGGTTCCTTTGTGTGTAACAAGCTCGGGACTGGTTTATGTATTTTCTTACAGTGGCTTTCAGACAGGAAGAAAAGAGCTTTGCAGAAGAAAGATGTGGGTGAGTTTTGCCATCACAGGCTCCTCAGCAATACTCGGCTGCACGTGTACAACATGCATCTCCCTCTGGAGACGCTTTACTAACCGATACAAGGAAGTTATGCATACCTCCTATTTTAAAAACTACACAATTAAAGCTATAAATAGTTATGGTTAGGAGGCTATGCTTCAACTTTCTACACAGCTTTATATAAACAGAATATTACCAATATTGCTTTAAATTTCAGGCACTAAATATTGGGGTTGTAGATTGTACAGAAACATGGCAGATGAATTCCATGTATAGCTTATGATAAAGTCCAACTATAAACTCCTCAATGTGTATTATACTCCTCTTAGAGTGCATGAACATCATAATTTCAGCCTAAATTTGTTATCCAAAATAAAATATGGCTATTTACATACCATAAGAAGGGTTGTATAAAAACTTCAACCAACCAAAAATGCATAGAATTAACAGGAGGATGGAATATATTATACAACATCTTAGTTGTGTAAAAAGTGTGATAAATATTTGCTACTACATTATATAATAATTTGTTACATAGTTACCACCTCAGAACAGGCATTTATTTTCTATGGAGGTAGCCTGCATCTCAGGGTTAACAGACTGTATTAATCTGTTTATAATGTGTTAATTATACTTAAAAGATCTTTATATTTTAAAAAATGTTAGGAGATATTCCCTATGTTCAATTAACTCGACATGCTTCCATGAGAAACTGTTACATTTTTGGGGGTTGATACAATAGTGCTACCTTTAAAAAATAATTTTATTTTATTTTATTTCTTTATAGATGTCCGTAGAAGAATTGAACTTATTCAAGACTTTGAAATGCCCACAGTTAGCACAAAGATTAAGGTGTCAAGAGATGGACAGTATATTATGGCAGTTGGTGAGTTAACAAAGTGTCTCTCTGTAGCAGAGGCCAAAAGTGCTAGAAAATCTTGGTTGCAGAATGACTTAGTATTTCAGGTAGAATTGATAAGAGTTCATTTTTAAATATAGCATTGAACAGTTTTGGAAGCTTACTCTCAAAATGTGATAGAGTGGCTGTCTTGGTAGTGGTACTGGGAAACACTTCTTTTCACAACACAGATGTTCTTAGAATCATAGAGTGGTCTGGGTTGGAAGGGACCTTTGAAGATCATCTAGTCCAACCCCCCCGCCACTGGGGCTTTATCATACAATTAAAACCTAAACTGTTTATAATACAGTTAAAAACTTAATTCTTAATTATTTTTATTGTGCGTAGATAAATTTGCTTTAAATAACTTCTGAACATCATTGAGTATTGTTTTAAAGGATGGAGGATAATGCTACATTTTGTAACTGTCAAAGCAGGATCCAAATATGAATACTTTAGTAGGTATGAATAGCGTAAGGAGACTTGGTCTTTCAGACTTACTGGAAGGTATTAAATTCTGTATAATGTATCTGGTAATCAGAAGAACCTACATACAAGTAGGGTGCTTTCAGGCGCCACAGACAAGAACCAAGCCATAAGGTTATGTTACTAAGAGGTATGTTTTTCCAGTCACAGAGACTTTGGTAAGATCAGAATACTTGTAGTTGAAATGCAGTAAAGCTTCTATATGTAAGACTTCATATTTAAAAAAATGCTTTAATGTTATCTTTTTGTTTAATTTTTTTATTAAAGATCAAATTGTTCTTTCAGGAACTTACAAGCCGAGGATCCGCTGTTTTGATACCTATCAGTTATCCCAGAAATTCGAAAGATGCTTAGATTCTGAAGGTTAGTATAAGCTATGGCTGTTAGTACAAGATATCTTTCATATATAATTCAGGTTGGACTTGAGTAGAAATTTCCCTCCCTGGGCTGAGGGGACAGAATGTACTTTGGGGGAACACAAGAATCTAGAGTAAAACATCACCTAGTCTTTATCTCTGTATTTTTCTCCTTTTCCTCCTCCTTCAAAGTTCTTTCCTCTCTTGGAGCAGTGTGAGGAACGTAAGGTTTCCCTTGAGCCAGTAAGCACAGGGCTCAGAGAGTGGATGTGGCCGAAGGCTGTGCTCTGTTTGGGGAATGCTGTGTGGGTACAATGGCTGGGTAGCAGTCAGTTCTCCCTTCTTTCCTATTCTGTGAAGCAGTGAGGTAGGAGAATGCACCGTGGTTGCACCATCATTACTGAATGAGTTCTCACTGTGTTCCCACTGGAGCCCAAGATCAATAGGTGAGTTAGAGGGTAAAGAGAATTCCCTGAGAATGGTTTGGTTTGCTTGTTTGGTTTGTTTGTTTGCTTGGAAGCAAGGTACTTAGGGATAGATGGTAGCATGGCCAAGGCCCTAATTACACCTTGTTTGCTACTAATTTGGAGGGTGAACAACTATGGTGAGGAAAGCAAGGAGCCATCTAGATGATAGGAAAGGGAGAATCTGCTGGCAGATTAGGGGAGGAGGTCAGAGCTGCCATGGCTCTGAGTTTTAGGGAGCATATATTTCGGGAATGGCATGTGGGTTGTTTTGGTTTGGGTTTGTTTTTGTTAGAAGACTGATGGCTGAAAACTGAGATACAAGCGTGACCAAAGCAATGAAGGAAGGAGCACAGAGTGGCAGAAGTCCTAAATCATTACAGAAGAATGAAACCGGTCTAACTGTGATGTGTGTGAAAGTGGTATGAAAAATAAAAATTGAGAACTACTGAATTAGGTCAGGAAAAGGGGATTAAAGTGTGGTAGTGTTTCTTTACCCTGTGCCTCAGCACTGCAAGGAGTCACACAGGGTGAAGGGACAGTGCTGCAACATAGGAAGAGGGGAGGTGGTAGGGGCAGGGGTTCGGAGGGGCTGGGGAGAGGAAGCTATGGCAAGAGTGAGACCCGCTTGAAAAGAGTAGGAGCCATTGTAATAGTAAATGCTTGCTGGTAATTAGAGCTTAAAGTAAACTTTTTTTGAACTGGCATCTTACTAGACTGCAGAAGTATGTTTAATTTGAAATGTAGCAGAGAGTCACTTCAGGTAACTTTAAATGAGCTATCTCATTTAAATGGAAACAATTTAGCTGAAGCAGCTACTGCCTAATGTTCCCAACCCAGCTCATTTAAAACTAAGCAAAGTTCAATACATTGCAGTATTCAGCATGGATAGTAGCTTTCAAATTCGTGATTTTTTTGAGCCTTAAAACTTTTTCTGTGGAAGTGCTGACCCCTTAGAAAGATCACATGTGCAGGTTTGTGCGTAGTATATCCGAACATATGTCACTTTTTGCCATCTTTGATGGATTACCAAAGGTCCATGGACCACACACTCACTGAAAACCATATGATTAGACCTTCCCCAAGCCAATAAATACATGGTTGAGCATTGTGTTGAGAAACGTGTCAAGTATACAAGAATGATAGAAAGATTACAGGGTGCTTCATATGTTTCTAAAGTTTTAGAAAACTACTTACTATTTTGCAAATAAAGTTATATAATTAAAGATTTTATCACAATGCCTGCATTATGCATTGACACCTGTGGGGAATACTTATATGACTAAAGGTTAGCACGAGTGTAAATGTTTTCAGGATTTATGCCAATGTTTGCAAATAAGTTTGCTTATTTAGTTGACTTAAAATTCTCTTGCTCTCTCCTCTAGTGGTTACGTTTGAGATTTTATCAGATGATTACTCAAAGGTATGTTTAATGTCTTCAATGTATAAATGAAAAAATTGTTTAATATGTATATTAAAATGCATTTTCATATATAGTAAAGGCAGTCAACACAACTTTTGGAACAAAAATTTTTTTAGAAAAGCAAACAGGATAAACATTTTTTGTATCTTCAAAATGTTGTTTGTTTTCTTTGTCTCTTTGTATTATAATTTGCGTTACCACTTTTGAAGTCTTCTGTCTGTAGTAGAGAAAAACTTCAAATAATGATCTATCCTACAAACAAAATAATGTGAAAAATGGAATTAGTTATTCTTTCTAGGATAACATTTAGTCATAATCTCTTGTGACGAGTCATATACAGGTACACGATTTTTGAGAGGAGGGATAGTCTAACAGCCTGATTTGTCAGCATTGTTGTAGCCATGATGATTATAAGCGTATGAATGAGGTAAAAATTGTGGAGAGAAATAATGTCTTCCCCCCCCG